ACCTAATATTATTTATTGGTTTAGGTATAAAAGTTGGGGAAACAACACCCGATAAGCTCTTCACGCTGATCGAAGTGGAATGTTTAGGTGCTTGTGTAAACGCACCGATGGTACAAATAAATGACAACTACTACGTAAGTACTGCATTCCCTTCTAAAAGGTGAAGCTTCTTGGTTGGGTTACCTGTGTTTTCAGCTGTTGTGGATTACGAAGTTTTGGTCAGTTTTTTAATTCCTATTGGCAGGGACAACTGACAGCTAGAGCATCTTTGAGTTTCTTGGCTTCCCCTTTTCTCATCACAGCTGACACCATTGTGTAGTATGTGCAGTGGCATGGGTATAGTGGGTAGGCAGAGATCCAGCTCACTAATACACCAAGGAAGCTGAAAACACATTGTTAGTTTTAACATAATCTCTGAAACTATATGTAAAACAAAAATTTTGACATAAGTAACTTTTTAATTTTCCTAATTCTTTAAACCAGTATATGTGTTAATGGATCAAAATTACCTGTGCCAGGGTCACACCTAAGAATCTCTAACCTGATGGATTTTGAATGCTGCAATTAGCACAATTAGTGACTCTTTCTCTTTTGTCAATTTCTTTTTTTTTTTTTACAGGAAGACTTGACACCAAAAGATATTGAAGACATAATTGATGAGCTAAAGGCTGGCAAAGTTCCCAAACCAGGCCCAAGGTATGCTGTATTTGTGTAATACTGGTCACCTCCTGGAAGGCTGATCCTCTGAGAAACTAAGTTCCTGTTTCAATGATTTGAGTTCCCAACCTACAGCTAAAAATCATTAATTTACTGAACAGAACTTCATGCATTCAAAGCTGAAAAGAACTGGAAAGAACTGAGACTTTCTATGTTCCTAATGACTAACCAGAGGAGCATGAAAAGTGAAAACAGCAGTTGTGATTTGTCTTAGTACTCAAAAGGTGAATGATGTCACCTGTTGGAATTTTTTACCTAGATCATTTAAACCAACAAGTGCCTTTTGGTTGGTTGATTGTGTTGTTTTTTCTGATTTATGGCAAAAAACAAAGACTGGAAGTTTGTGAAAGGGTTACTATTGCTGAACTTTTCTTACTCAGTATTTCCCACTGTTCTTTGCTAGCCCAACCACACATTTGTGTGCAAGAAGGAATTAATTTGACTTAGGTGTGTTACCTATTCCTGGTTTCTATAAAGATTTCTTTTGAATACAAACCCAATAATCTTAAAACAGTTGTAGTTTCCAAGCACAGGGGAGCATCTCTAACAAAAATACAACTAATGGGATGCTGCCTGGCCTACATGTAAATAAAAGAAAACTAGTGGTCCTATCTTGCATTTCAGTTATGAAGCTATTTGTTACTACTTGAATTTGGAATCCTTTCGATTTAAGAGCAGTATCACACTTTTTAAGAATGAATGGAAAGAAAAAGAACAGCCGGTGGCTTCAGCCTTAACTCAGATTTGTAACTGTCCTTCTATGCAGTGATTAAACAGCATCTGAGGTCATAACAATACCAGTAATGAATGAAACTTTTCATTTCCCAGGAGTGGACGTTTCTCTTGTGAGCCAGCCGGTGGCCTTACTTCTCTGACTGAACCTCCCAAAGGACCAGGCTTTGGAGTTCGACCTGACCTCTAAGGATTTTTGTAATATAAGATGAACTGTCTGAAAATAATAAAGTACCTTCAATCTCAGTAAAATTATGTGCATTCTGCCTTTTTTTTTTTCAAATGAGGAAAGAACAGCAATTAGAGTATCTAACTTACCATGGTTTTAACTATTGCAAAGCTTAATCATAATTCTAGATTAGAAGAAAAGTGGGTCTGTAGACTGTAAAGTGACTCACTGAAAGAGTCCACTTATGATCACTGAGAGGTCAGTGTTGTGTCTTTTGATGTGTCATTGAAAATTCTTTCCGCTTTTTCTAAGGCTCTTTGAAGCAGCACTAAATTACGAATCTGGCAAATGCACAAGGAATCAAACTGAAAGGAGACAATCTGACAAAACTTCATCATGTTATTTTTATTTGCAATTTATTGTGGTGTAAAAAATCTGGTAGGTTCAGTGAGAAGCAATTCTTCTTGAGCTTAATTCTTCTTAGTACCACTCAGTGACCAGGAAAAATGTGAAAATTAACTTTTCATCATGTTACCAAAAACCCCCAAATAGCAATAGTACTTTACTATAAGAATGAACAGCAACACAAAAAAACCATTTCCTGTACAAGTTTATTCAGTACAGATAAGGTGTGCAGTTGGGGGAAGACAGAATATACCAGAACAGTTTCACATATGGCTAAGAGTAATAACATGACACTGGATATGTTATTTGCAGATCCTTCCTTGACCTTACTGCTGTGTACCAGCTACTTTTAAGAACTAATCTCTCTGAAATTGAGGCATATCTCTTGATGTTAAAAAGCTGAAGATAATTTTTTTAAAAAACTGACTGCCTCTTGACAATAGTTATGCTTATAAAATTGGGCAAAAGCTTCAAGTATACATATATATACAATATATATACACACACATACATTTCCATGTAAATTAGGAAATGTGAACACATCAGACACCTGAGACCATATTTTGTCTGCCTCTTCTAAAATCAGGCGTGGAACTTACATTCTTACTACAATTCATGTAGTAAATGGAGATTAATTGTATTTATAATTTTATTTGGTATTATATTTGTTTTGATAGTGTGATTAACAGTACTTCCCCAAACTATTCTCCCCCTTCTGGGCTAAATTTTGTTTTCACAGATTTCCCTGCATAACAACTCTCTCCTGTAGTCTGTTTATGTACCACCTTTACTTCAATAGGCTCTGTCAATTTCCTTGACATACTGTTAAAAAAAGTAGTGCTACCGTTGGTAGTTCTGAAAGCAAAATGTTATCTGTAAATCATTTTATGAAAAAACTTGCTATCTCTTCCATATGACTAAATTTATAAAATTAAATACCTGAATTGCATATAAATTGGAAAAGCCATGAGTGAAGCAGTTTCCAAATAAGCATAAAAAACCCCTGCTTGTATAGAAGTGGTATAGAAGACAGTGCATAAGAAAAAATAGTACATGGGTTGAAATACTATCTGTCATTTAAAGTTCCTGAATGCTCTTCTAAAAGGTCACTCCGTGTCTGTAATAGCCACAGGCCTCATAGCAGGACAGGCATCTGGCACTGTGCAGCACTTCTCTAGGGACGTGAGCCAGACAGCATGTCATATCTTCATGCAGAGACAGACTCATTTCAACCTACCAATCTGACTAAGCTGTTTGCTCGACCGTAACAACAAAGCTGTATCCTAGTCCACACAGGTTTACCTTACTCTAACCTGCTGTGAAAGCAGGCAGATATTTTTGAAGTATACATTGAATGTAAATGAGGATTTTTGCATGCCTTGTGGAGCTGTCGTGTGTTACAGTTATTCAGAAGTTTGTATGTAACTGTGAACTCGGTGGGATTGCGTAATCCTGTTGAAGGGAAACAGTTTTAGACCTGCCAAACTTGAAACTTCGGAGCATACAGAAACAGAGCTCTAGAATGTCAGGCTCCTCCCATTTGTAAAGCTGGACAGAATTTGTTGCCTTATCCCACTTTTCTCCTCTGTTCATCTCATTTGTACGTGAAAATTTTGATGTCTCATGAGCAGAACATGGACCTCAACAGTTTCCCTTTTGTTGAAGATTATTAGTGATGTTCTGCCGACAAGCTGTCACTCACTTTGAAGGAACATGTAACAGTCTGCCAATCACTTGACTAGAGAAGGATGATTTGCATTATCCTTACAGCATAGCACAAATCTGATACATCACTGTTTAATATTACAGGGCGGCTGTGAACTGTGAAATCATTAAAGAGAAATACGAAAATAACCCAGTACCCTTCTCTCTCCTCTTACCCACTTAATTTATCAATTATATAAGGCTTTATGGTTCTAGCTTCCGCATTAAAGAAGTTTGGGCAATCACTTTGTATTATTTCAGATTTTGTTTAAATTTGAACATTTCAAACATCTGAACTAGAAATACATATTCTGCAACATTTGTTACATGTACTTGTTTACTATATACAAAATTATTTTCACAGTGGTAACTTATGCAGGACTGTGATGAGAATTGACAAGATAATGATTATGAGAGTTACAGAATAGTGCAAGAATTGATCTAGTCAAGTTCTCTTTTCTATTCTTGCATAGCTGCAATTAATACCTCGTGCTTGCTTCTACTAGTAGTATTGAATATTTTAGGTAACAAGTATTGACAGGACATCATTCTCCTCCTGAGTAGCAGAGGGTTACTAATTCTGGGCAGCTGGCACTAACCTGTGAAGTTATTAAACACTTGTAATTCTGCAACTTGAATCTACCTGTTAATACATTGGATTGTAAGAGTATTGGATGGTGAGTTGAACAAAAAATGAGTCAACCACAGCAACTGTCACATGTTCCCAAAACTAGTGATGCAGAACTGATTCTGTGTTTTCTGTGGTCTTGTCTGCCCATTCTTGAAGGACGGACAAACTAAAAGAATTCACATGCTGTGTTAATTCTAAAAGTGGAGAAAAAAAAAAGACTACCTAGAGATTTTAAAATAGGTACAGTCTTGAGAAAGGAAATGAGCTTTAGAACACAAAAGTGTAAGATATGTGAGGAACCCACCGGACTGTGAGAGCAGGAGGTGGCTGGTAGTTTTTTCCTTTGGCGAAGATGGAACAAATTCTGGCATAATAGAAAACTCTACTAGATGTATGTGTTCAATGCGGGATGGAGTACAGAAAGGATTTTACCTAGAACAGTGTTCTGTCATTAAATAGGAAGGAGCAGTGAAATCCAGTTCCCCCTGCCAGGATGTTTGCTGGGCCCGCTGGCTGACCTGCCAGTTACCTGCTGGAGGCTAGTGCTTATGCTTTCACCTGTGTGCCACCTTGCAACTTCTTGGGATCGAGTTCTTACGTGAGATTCTGGTACTGCAGTCTGAGATTTTCAGTCATTCAGCGCCTAGACTGAATTCAGCAATTCCATGGTTCAGCCAGGAACTGGTGACTAAGGCCAGCAGTTTACATGGCTGCTAACACAGGATGTTTCACCAGGGAGGGCAGATCAAGGAAGTACCACACAAAACAACACGCAGCTACAAAGGCATTTTGCAGCTGTGCTGTAGGTACAATGGAGGAGCTTCTGGAGACAAGGGGAAGAAACTAATGTAGGGGTAGCAATTAGCAGTCCACTGACGCTTTTTATTAGTCCAAACAGTAGCTCTTATAAAAGGCTTAAGGAACTGTATTTTTTTTTTTCAGTTACTGATAGGTATTGTCAGATTCTAACATCTGCTGCAGAAGATGTGGCTCACGAGACTCCTTTCCTGTTAGCTGCTGCTTGTGAGCAGCTCCCAGCACACAGTGAACTCTTGGCACTGTACACGACCTGCACGAGGATCAAAATGCAGTATAACACTGCTGTGCCACACCTGTGGCCTGCCAGGTTCTAGAGTGTCAATCCCTGTGTAATGCTGTGAGAAGAAAAATTGTGCTGCATTGGGAAACGGTTCTTACTCCACTTGTGCTGACATTCCATAGGCTGTCTGCTCTTCAATCTGCTTGCCACTTCAGGTGATGGTCTCTACAATCAACCTGGCATGAAAAGAATGTGAAGGCAACTCTCTTTGCTACATGGTCACTGAGGGTGGCAGACCTGCTCCTGGCCACCTGACAGTGCTCCTTGTATGCCAACAGTCAAACTGAGGCAATTTGATTCTGTGTGAATCAAATGATCTACAAACCATGGTCCACTGTAGACCATCAAATGGTCTACAGACGGTTCTACAAATGACCTCTACCAGCATTTGTACAGTAACATTGTGAAAGCAAACGAGGTGAGTTTGCCTAAACACGTAAGCTGTCATGCAGCATGGGAATAGGAGAGATTTGTGATGCCATGCTGGTACATGCTGGGTGGAGATCAGGATGTAAATCCACACAGTAAGTGGCCACAACCACAGTAATCTTTTAATTCTGAAAAGCAATCACTTTTCTGACTTGACTAGTAAACATTAAGGAATTCCTACATAATAACAGATGAAACTAATCCAGCAACAGAGTGAGCACAGCAATTAATACTATGCTAGAGGGCTTTGTTAAGCTGCCTTCTCAAAATACTACACCTGGCAGTCCAACAACCTTTATTTAGTATCTTCCAGAAGCAACCTGGAGAGAGAACCCCCGCATACAGCACCACACAGGCTCCCTAAGCCTTACCACATAATACTGCTTTAATAAGCAGATGCAAAACCTTTCACAAGTCCAGATGAACGACCCATTTTCAAGGCTGCAACCAGAGCTAAGGTCAGGCTGCTTCTGCAACCCCTTTTGATGCAATTCCATGACATCTGGCTTATTTGTGCAAGCAGAGCACCGCCAAAAGAACTGGTTTTGAAACCTGGAAGTTGCTTGTACCCGCCTGAGCGGCTGTGGGCCACTCGGAATCCGAACCACAGACTCGATCAGGTTGGAAAAAACCTCTGAGATCACCAAGTCCAACCTATGACCTAGCTGACTTTGGCCCCCATGAAGTTCCTGCAGCTCCATGGCTGCTCCAAGGGGCAGCAGCCAGCACTGAGCAGGCACCCAGGAGCAGCAGGATTGTCGCTGGAATCATCAGGAAAACGCCTTAACATCAATTTAGTATTGCATTATTATGCCATT